ATAATCTTATAAACATCGATCATGTCATCTCTTAGCCATCGTTTCTCCAAGCTAAAGAGCCCGAAGCGTTTTAACCTTTCTTCATAGGGAAAGTGTTCCAAGCGTTTTATCATTCTAATTGCCCTTTTCTGCACTTTTTCCAAAGCTATAATATCCTTTTAAAGGTGTGGTGATCAAAACTGTACACAGTATTCCAAATGAGGTTGCACCATTGATTTATATAGGGGCATTATGATATTGGCTGATCTGTTTTCAATACCCTTCCTAATAATCCCCAGCATAGCATTGGCCTTTTTTATTGCAGTCACACACTGTCTCGACATTTTCAGTGAGTTATCTACTACGACTCCAAGATCTCTCTTGGTCAGTCTCTGCCAGTTTGGACCCCATCAATGTGTATTTATATTTAGGATTTTTGGCTCCAATGTGCATTACTTTGCACTTGACCACATTGAACCCCATTTGCCATGTTGATGCCCACTTGCCCATCCTTGACAGATCCCTTTGGAGTGCCTCACAATCCTCCCTAGTTCTCACTACCCTGAACAACTTTGTATCATCCACAAATTTAGCCACTTCACTGCTTACTCCCAACTCCAAATCATTAATAAACAAGTTAAAAAGCATCGGACTGAGTACTAATCCCTTTCGGAACCCGACTGCTTACCACCCTTCACTGAGAAAAGTTCCCATTTATACTCACTCTCTGTTTCCTATTAATTAGCCATGAAAGGACTTGTCCTTTTATCCTGTGATTTTTGCGCTTACTTAGGAACCTTTGATTAGGAACTTTATCAAAAGCTTTCTGGAAGTCAAGGTAAACAACATCTATTGGGTCCCCCTTGTCCACATGTTTGTTCACCCCCTTAGAGAACACTAACAGGTTAGTGAGACAAGATCTTCCCTTACAGAACCCATGCTGAGTCTGCCTCAATAGTTTTTGTTCATCAATTTGCTTACTAATTCTTTCCTTAATAACAGTTTCCACCAATTTACCCTTTATTGACGTCAGACTGACTGGCCTGTAATTTCCCGGATCTCCTCTGGAAGCCTTTTTAAAGATGGGAGTGACATTAGCTACCTTCCAGTCCTCAGGAATGGAGGCAGATTTTAAGGAAAGATTACATATTTTTGTCAGGAGATCCACAAGTTCACATTTGAGTTCTTTCAGAACTCTCAGAGGTATGCCATCCGGGCCTGGTGATTTATCAGTTTTTAAGTTGTCTATCAGTCGTAGGACCTCCTCTCTCGTCACCTCAATCTGACTCAGGTCTTTCAACACCCCTCCTGAAGTCAGAGGTTCTGGAGTGGTCAAGCACTTCTCATCGTCCACAGTGAAGACAGAGGCAAAAAATGCATTCAGCTACTTAGCCATTTCCCTATAATCCTTCATTACTCCTTTTACCCCTTGGTCATCCAAGGGCCCCACTGTGTCTGGGCTTGTGTATTGATTAGTTCTTATCACAAGCAAAGGGAAGGATCACAGTTTCATGGCTTAGAGGCTTCTTGTGTAAATGAACATGAACAACAAATTGATTTAGTGTCAGCTGAGGTAAATTAATAGAACTTTTTTCTCAGATGAGTGGTTCTTTTGTGGTGCTGGGAAGTTCCTTGTGAGAGCTTGACTTCAGGAAGCCTCTGGCTGCCTGTGCATGTCAAGAAAAACAGAGTGCAACTAGTCCCTTAGGCAGGGCCTACCTATCCATTAGCTGCCCTGAGCCTGCTTCGGCAGGAAGGGCAGGGTATTAATCGAATAAATAAATATAAATAAATAAATAGGCACAGTAGGCGCAGTGCCTAAGGCCCACAATACTTTTAGGGGCCCACAACAATGTTTTAATTTCTTTTAAAATCAGGAAAAAAAGAACTTTTAGGGTTGAAGAAAATGTTTAATTTTTTTTCCTCACATCAGAAAAAAATGAAATGTTTAGGACCAACAAAAATTATTATTTTTTACCTAAAACAGAATTTATAAATACAATTATTTATTTAAAGTATTTAAAGTTATATCAAAATAATTTTTATTACTGATATTATTATGATAGGAGAGGCCCACGAAGGTAAAAGTGCCTAGGGCCCATAAAAGCTGTAATGCGGTCCTGCCTTTAGGGTGTCATCAGAATAACAGTAAAAGAAACCATTGATTCAGTTTTGGTTAATGAAGCCAGTGTAGTGTGGAGACAGTGTTAGTCATGGTCCTGAAGGAACTTGAGATCAAATCTTTAATAACAGCCAACCCGGACTAGATGGGTGTCCCTGGATTTGCACCACATCAGATTTGCATCATGGGATTCCCTCCTGCCATTTTAAAGTCTCCACCCAGGTACTTCTTTAAACTGCATTGTGAGGGCCCAGTGCCACTTTTTTGACCTAAAATGGCACCGGGAGGGGCATTATTAGCTTTACAATGTGACTTCTGCTTCCACAGGACTCTGCAAAACAAAAACCTTCCCTCTCTAACAAAGGCAATGCTCTTCAATTTGCAAACCGTTCTGCTTTCTGACCCAAATAAAGCTAATCGGCAATGGGAGGAAGAAGGTCTGTTTCATCTTGCCTACAGTACGATGTTCAGGTAAGTGCAGCATTCCAAAGCCATTTTCCCACTAGACACGAACATGGCAAATTATGGAGTTGGCAAAAGGACTGAGCATGTGCCCCTCCAGTTTTTAACCTTTCTACGTTTCCTTCTTCCCAGGGCTGGTTACCTGACACTGTATGGTAATGAAAGTAAGGATTATGATGACGTCTCCAGTCGAGCTAAAGACTTGGTGCATTCTCTGGAAGTCTATCATGAGTTTTACAAACTGGACCGTCTTTTGATGAAAGCTGCTCGTTCCATGTTGAGTGCAGGTTGGTGCGACTGGCCAGGTCCCATCCTTAATGCTGGTACTTCAGTAGCACACTGGAAATGTTTGATAAAATCCATCCCCTGGTCTTTCCTAGCCAAACCTCCAAGCGAGTGTAACTGGAGGCCAGTTCCTCTATGTATCCTTCACAGAGATTTGTTTGATGCAAGACCTGTTTCCATCTGAAAAGCCTGGGTTCAGGTGGTAGATTTTCAGATCTACACTGCAGTTTATCTGTTATGCACCCCCCCCCCGAACCCTGGAAATTCTAGTTTGGTGAGGATGTTGTTAATTGTTCCTGGTTCCTCTCAGAAGAACAGATTCTAACTCAAGTATCAGCGGGTGGGATTCTAAAGCACACGGAATGGTCCTGCCAGGCCCGTGCGGGTTCTCGGGTCGCGAGTCCCGAGCACGCAGTAAGAATCACCTGCGGTACTTCAGTTGCAAGGTGAGGGAAAGATGGGTTAACCAGAGAAACAAAGGCTGTGTTTCTCTTTTTAAAACCTAGTTTTGGGGGGTTGGCTTAAGGCCAATCTACCCCTAAAATCCATCCCTTTCTATCCCTATTGGTGGACAGGTTGTGACGCTATACCTAGAGGGGAGGGGGCGATATTCAGATTCTAGACCTAACTTCAAAGGGGAGCCATGTGGTGAGGTGTCAAAGTCATATCTCCATGGCAACTTTTGACTTGCAGAGATGTGCCTGGTCCATGAAGGCAATACAGGATGTTTTCTTTGTGATGCCAAACCAGATAGGAAGATGGGTTACGCATTTTCCCACAGATCAGCAATGGTGGGGAAACCTGTTGTTCTTCCAAGTTTCCAAACTGAGCATAATGGCGTTTGTCTTCTTTGTCCTGAGGCACGCTGGGAAGGTGCAAGGAAGCACGTGTTCTGTAGCGCAGGCGACACAAGCCTTGCTCATCCAGATGCAAGCATGAGATGCAAAGCAAGCCATACAAACACAGCAATCCCCTTATCCCATACGCACAAATGTAAAGACATTCAACAGACATATAGCATTAGCACAGTACAGATAATACATTTAAAAGCACACATGGTTACACCCCGCTCCCGGCGAAGACTGATTTGGCAACCCTAACCACATCAGATTTGCATCATGGGATTCCCTCCTGCCATTTTAAAGTCTCCACCCAGGAACGTCTTTAAACTGCATTGTGAGGGCCCAGTTCTCATCAGGACCATCGCTGTGCAGGGGGAGAAGGGAATCCTGCTCCCCTTGTGCCACTTTTCTGACCTAAAATGGCACCGGGAGGGGCATTATTAGCTTTACAATGTGACTTCTGCTTCCACAGGACTCTGCAAAACAAAAACCTTCCCTCTCTAACAAAGGCAATGCTCTTCAATTTGCAAACTGTTCTGCTTTCTGACCCAAATAAAGCCAATCGGCAATGGGAGGAAGAAGGTCTGTTTCATCTTGCCTACAGTACGATGTTCAGGTAAGTGCAGCATTCCAAAGCCATTTTCCCACTAGACACGAACATGGCAAATTATGGAGTTGGCAAAAGGACTGAGCATGTGCCCCTCCAGTTTTTAACATTTCTACGTTTCCTTCTTCCCAGGGCTGGTTACCTGACACTGTATGGTAATGAAAGCAAGGATTATGATGACGTCTCCAGTCGAGCTAAAGACTTGGTGCATTCTCTGGAAGTCTATCATGAGTTTTACAAACTGGACCGTCTTTTGATGAAAGCTGCTCGTTCCATGTTGAGTGCAGGTTGGTGCGATTGGCCAGGTCCCATCCTTAATGCTGGTACTTCAGTAGCACACTGGAAATGTTTGATAAAATCCATCCCCTGGTCTTTCCTAGCCAAACCTCCAAGCGAGTGTAACTGGAGGCCAGTTCCTCTATGTATCCTTCACAGAGATTTGTTTGATGCAAGACCTGTTTCCATCTGAAAAGCCTGGGTTCAGGTGGTAGATTTTCAGATCTACACTGCAGTTTATATATTATGCACCCCCCCCCCGAACCCTGGAAATTCTAGTTTGGTGAGGATGTTGTTAATTGTTCCTGGTTCCTCTCAGAAGAACAGATTCTAGGGTTCCTAGGGAGAGGGAATAACTATTAAACTTTTTGTCTATAGTGCAGGTATGTCCAGAGGTTTTAAAATGGTATGATTGTGGTATAACAAATGTAGAGTCCAGTGGCACCTTTAAGACCAACAAAGGTTTATTCAAGGTATGAGCTTTCATGTGCATACACATTTGTATGCACACGAAAGCTCATACCTTGAATAAAACTTTGTTGGTCTTAAAGGTGCCACTGGACTCTACATTTGTTCTACTGCTTCAGACCAACACGGCTACCTGCCTGGAACTATGATTGTGGTATGATTGCCTTTGACTACATACATTATTTTTTTCTGACACAGTAGGTTTTGAAGCAAAACAAGAAACACCACTGACTGAAAATAAACAAGTATATAATAATCATATAAACATAACATCAAGTATAATGTAAATCATTTGGCCAAGGTTTACATTATACTTGATGTTTGGCCAAGATATACATTATACTTGATGTTATGCTTATATGGTTATTATATACTTGTTTATTTTCAGTCAGTGGTGTTTCTTGTTTTGCTTCTTGTACTGTACACTGGCTTCCCCCCCTTTTTTTTGACAGTAGGTTTTGAAGCACTGCAAAACCAGTAAAGGTAAAGGTTCCCTTGCTCGAAAGCCAGTCGAATCCGACTGTTGGGTTCCGGTGCTGGTGCTCATCTCCGTTTCAAAGCCGAAGAGCCAGCGCTGTCCAAAGACGTTTCCGTGGTCATGTGGCCGGCATGACTAAACACCAAGGCGCACGGAACACTTGTTACCTTCCCAGTAAACCTGTATGTAAAACTGAATTATTCAAGAGGGCTTTCCAAGCAGGCAATGGGGTAGCAAATGCTTCACAGTTACTTGGATAAATTATTAGGGACTGTGTCCTACCATGCTGTGTATAGCTTGGTTAGTTCTACCACTCTATTCTATTGCACTGTTTATTGACTGTCCCATCCTATTGATTGCATTGACTCCCTGTGGGTAATCTGCCTTGAGTCCCAGTGAGAAAGGCAGACTATAAATAATGTCAATCAATAAACCTGTTTGACCAAAATTCAAAGCAGAACAGAAACAATGAATGTCTCTATCCAAAGGCTATTATAAATCTATCATGCTATTCCAGTCTCTGGAAAACTATCAGCTATCTATCTATCAGAGCCAGTTTGGCGTAGTGGTTCAGAGCACAAACTCTAATCTGGGAGATCAGAGTTTGATTCCCCACTCCTTCACATGCATCCAGCTGGGAGACCTTGGGCCAGTCACAGTTCTCTCAGAGCCATTCTCTCAAGAGGAGTTCTCTCAGAGCTCTCTTAGCCCCATCTATCTCACAGGGTGTTGGTTGTGGGGGAGGGGAAGGGAAAGGAGATTGTAAACTGCTCTGAGACTCTGAGTGAGGGGCAGGGTATAAATCCAATCTCTTCTCTTCTTCTACCTAGTGTTTATAAGATTTTAATTATCAAAATAACTTTACATTATTTTCAGGGCCGGCCCAAGGTGTTTCTGCGCCCTAGGCGAGGCGCAGGTGCCAACCTTCCGGTGGGGCCTGGAGACCTCCCAGCTGACTGCCTCCTTGCTCTCCTGAGCCGCAGGGCAGGAGAGGAATGGCGAGGCGGCCGGCTCGGGGACTCGGGAGAGGTGGGAGCCACCTGGCGGGCGGGAGGGGTCGGGGGCTCGCCAGTCTCGCTCCTCCTTCCCTCCTATCCTGCTTACTTTGGCCCCACCCAAGGTGCCCCTCCCTGTCCGAGAAGCGGCAGCCCAGTAGGCAGGAGGCGCCCGGGAAGGTAGGCTCGAGGGAGCCCCCAAAGTGCGTGGGCGACGGGCGGGTGGGCGGTGGCGCAGCCGGGGCTGGCGGTGGCAGCAGCAGCCTCTGCGCCTGTGCGGACCAGCTGCCGGCCGGGAGACAGGGAGCGGGCGCGTCAGGCCAGGCCGAGCCCCCATTGGAAGATGGGCCCTGCTGAGTAGCTGCCACCGCCAAGAGGCTGGCGGGGGGGGTGGCGCCAAACTGCACTTGGCCCCACGCCCGCCAAAAGCCCTGCATCTCCCTGACCACTACCGCCTCTTTCGCCCCTAGACCGGCAAGCTCAGTGCTTGCCGGACTCGGGGAGAAAGAGGCAGCGGCAGCAGGCAGGGAGATGCAGGGCTTTTGTTGGGGGGCTGGGGGGCTTTGGCGGGGAGGTGGGTCCAGTTTGGTGCCCCAAGGGCTGGCTCGCGCTCTAGGCGAAGGCCTAGTTCACCTAGCGGGTGAGCCGCCCCTGATTATTTTGTACATGGGCTCTGGGAATCTGCTACTTCCTACCCTGAACGCACCTTTAGATATATGTGCTTACTGGAGATGATGGGGTGCCTAATGAGTCCACCTCTGAATACCAATGCTAGGAGGCCACATCAGGGGGAGGTTGTGGTCTCTGTGTTGTCTTTGTAGGCTCTCCAGAGCAGCTGGTTAGCCACTATATGGGCCAGGGTGCTGGGCTAGATTGACCACTGCTCTGATTTAGCAGGGCATCTCTAGGATTTTCTGCACTGGAATATTTAGTCGAGAATCCCTCTTGCAGGGGAAAAAAGAGTCTTTAGGCTGCTTAGATCCACATCTCCCAAGTCAAGTCACGTTTGGTACCAAGGTACCAACTCACCCATGCCGCCTGTGTCCAGAGGGGTTTTTCCCCCCTATAAGGAAGAGAGTCATGGGGATGAAACATAGATAAATTGACACCCATCTAATTGTTGTTTGCTGGGAAGAATCAATGTAACTTCAGAACAGGGACTTGGGCTGCATCACCGGATATTGCACCATAGCAATAATTTACAACTAAATTTTCCTGTGTTGGCAAGGCAATGCAGGAGATGAATGATGACTATAGCACAACGATGATCAATTTACCCTGGGATGTAGCCTGAAATAAGTCTGCAGCTGGTCCTTATTAGAACTGCCTTGTACCCGCTAAAGCTTCATGCCTCTGTCAGTGCCATCCTAAGCAGAGTTACACCCTTCTGAACCCATGGACTTCAGTGGACTTAGAAGAATGTACCTCTGCTTAGGATTGTCCGGTAAGTACTGTAGGCAAAGAATTAGCCCCTTCACCCTGAAAAGCCCAAACACACATCTATTGATCCTAGATATCCTAAATCTTGTGGTCACTTTGTCCTCTTTGATGGTAGGGTTGTCATTGCCAACCTGGGAAACTTCTGGATATTTGGGCATGATGCCTGTGGAGGAGGGAATTCACCTAGATTCTATAGTATATCATAGAGCTTGTCCTCTGAAGCTGTTGTTTCCTCTAGGGAATATGATCTCTGTAGTCTGGAGATCATTTGTAATTCTGGGAGAACTCCAGGCTCCACCTGGAGGTTGGCAGCCCTATGCAGTGGCTTGTCAGGGCTACTTCTGTCGTACCCCTGCTGTACATAATATCCCAAGCTATTCTCTGTCCTCTGAATTTCATTCCTATAATCGCAGTGTTTAATGGCTCCTGCTTCTCAGTTACTTGCACCTGGTTTTCCCAGGTACCAAAGATAGCACAGCTAATGCTGTGAAAATACGATATCGCATTAACGGATATGTAGTCTCTGAGGAGAACCGGACTGTGTGCAACAAACGGATAACGACGACACCCCAGCATGTAAACTGAAACCTAGTAGGAAAAGGAAAATTATGGGCAGTAGATGGCACCATTGCACAGCCTTTCAGTTCTGTTTGCCATATTGACAGCTCAAGAACCAGTTGCCATAGTTGTCTTTTAAGAATGTAAGAAGAGCCCTGCAGGATCGGACCAATGGTCCATCCAGTCCAGCATCCTGTCTCACACAGTGGCCAACCAGTTCCTCTGAAGGTCCAACAGTAGGGCACACTGGCTGAGACCTTCCCCTGATATTGCCTCCTGGCACCAGTATTCAGAGGTTTATTGCCTCCAAATGTGGAGGCTCCCTTTAGTCACCATGGCTAGTGGCCACTGATAGACCATAAATCGTCTAATCCCCTTTTAAAGCTCTCTGTGCCTGTGGCCATCACTACATCCTCTGGCAGGGAATTCTGTATTTTAATCACCAGTTGAGGGAAGCAGAACTTCCTTTTGTCCATCCTGAACCTATTGCTCATTAACTTCAGTGGGTGCCTTCAAGTTCTTGTATTTTGGGAGAGGGAGGGGAAACAATCCCTTTATCCACTCTTCAATATAGATTGAAATGTGCACGGATAGTTCAGTAATTTTGTTAGGACCAACTAAAGTTCACAGTGCAGATTTTCAAGATACACAGTTTATAAATAACAATCCAAATTACTTCACATTTGAGTGAAGGAATACTTCCTTATGTATGTGCCAGATCTATTGCTTATTAGATGTATAAAGTGCCTGCAAGTTCTTATATTATGAGAGGAGAAGAAAAGTTCTCTTGTGTAAATAGTATAAGCTTCTGCTATGCCCCTTGCCCTATTTGCTAGTTTCCCCTAAACTAAGAAGTCCCACACTCCTTAACGTTTCCCTATAGGGAAGGTATTCAAACCCCACTATAATTTTAACTTTCACTAGTGCTCATATCCTGTTGAAAGATTCATCAACCAAAAGGGTACTCAGTATTCCAAAAAGGGTCTCACCATATACAAGGGCATTACATTTCATGTTCAGTTTCTTTCCTGATAATCCCCTAACAAAGACTTTGCCTTGTTTACTGCTGCCTCACACAGGTCAATATTTCCACTGACCGATGCACCATGTCCCGATATATCTCTTTCCTGGTCAGTCACTGTATTTGTATGGCAGAGAAGCACAGAAAAATGGGAGTATCCTTCTGTTATTAAAACTGGAGATTAATTCTAGAACCGCCCTTGTCACCTTTACTTTCTAAACTAGTGATTGTTAGCTTCAGCCAATGCTGGCTCCAGAGAGTAGTGAGGCCAGGCATTTGCCTAGGGTTGCCAGCCTACAGGTAGGGCATGGAGCTCTTCCAGAATTACAATGGATCCCCAGACTTAGAGAGCAGTTTCCCTGGAGGTAATGGCTATTTTGGAGAGTGGACTCTATGGCATTATGACCCACCAGGGTCCCTTCCCTGCCGAAACCCCACCTTCCTAAGGCTTCACCCCTAAATTCTCCAGGAATTTCCCAACCCAGAAGTGGCAACCGTACAGTTGCCAGAACCTCCAACCTTGCTGGGGTTGCCATAATGTGACGTTGACTTGACAGCACTCCCACTTGGGTTGCCAGCCTCCAGGTTGGGCCTGGAGATCTCCCAAAATTACAGCTGATCCCCAGATGACAAAGAGCTGTCCCCTTCGAGAAAATGGCTGCTTTGGAGGGTGGACAGTATGGCATTATATCCTGCTATGATCCCTCCCTCCCCAAACCCTGCCCTCCCCAGGTCCCACCCCACCCCCAAATTTCCAGGCTTTTCACAAACCGGAGCTGGCAACCCTAACCTACATACATAAAGGAGAGCTATTAGGAAGGTTTTGATCTGTCGATCCAACTGAAGCTGGTCAAGTTAGACGACCAGCCTTCCTAAGCTAATCTAATAACATTGGATTCTTCACACAGCGTATGTAGAGAATAAAATAATATAACTTCATGTATGTGCCCTGGACTCCTTGTAGGAAGGATAAGGTGGTAGCCCAATTATAGTAATACATTGTCTCTATCCCTGCCATTTCTCTCTGCAGCGGAAAAGAAGGCATTTAGCAGCATCAAGAAGAATCTCTGGAAGCTACTCTCTGTGAAAAGCCTGAATTGCAGAGCAAACAGAAGTGTTTGGCTGGAGAGCTATCAGCAGCACTTGGTGGACCTAGGAGTGGATGAAGACATGCAAACAAGAGCAATGCTGTTACAGCTCTGGAGTACTCAGGTACTGTACAACCCCTCTTTTCAGGATCACAGCTGTAAGTTTCTCTCTTTGCTTCCCTACCCAGAGATTAGCAACTGTGAGCAAATGGCTTTTCAGCAGTGTGGATGCCCGACAAAATGTGTTCATGTTTAGCCCTGGCCTGGATAGCCCGGGCCGCCCTGATCTTGTCAGATCTGAGAAGCTAAGCAGGGTCAGCCCTGGTCAATATTTTGATGGGAGACCACCAAGGAATAGCAGGGTCAAGATGTGGAGGCCGACAATGGCAAACCACCCCAAAATGTTTCTTGCCTTGAAAACCCCACTAGGGATCACCAGAAATCAGCTGTGACCTAACAGCAAAAAACCACAACACACTTTCAGTCAAAGAACCCTGTGGAAATGCAAACGCAACAAGAAAACCCAAGTGCTCTACACCCTATAGAGTCATTTATTTTATGAAGACCTGCATACATCCACCTGCTAAATAACTGGTCAGCAAAGTTAATTTACCATGCATGGACTACCTGTTGGCATGCAAAGAAGTGGGGTTCAGCCTACCTTACCCTGAGCAACTAATCATCAGCTTTGTCAAAACAGATCTGATTATGTAGTCCCCATCCAGTCCTGAGTGAGCTCTAATCACCTTGTGTGCAAAGTGGGACCATCTGCTTCTGTGTGCATCAAGGTGATTTGTTAACATCTGATCAATTTAGTAAGTTTTGCTTACGCTTCCAACGGGTCAGCTTGGCCAAAGGATGACCTGGGGCTAAAAGCCAAGAATCCAGGCTCATGCCCTTTGGCTTGTGTCTACGGGCTCGCACCTCCAGCCTTGCCCAAACTTTATATGTGGAGACAGGACGCCCTAACAAAAGGACAGCTCAGGTGTTACAGCTAGCAGCCTCTCGGTTTTCTATCCCTGCTTGTAGAACCTCTGGTCATGCCCACATTTTATGCCTGGAAAAGAAGCATACTGTCTCCCCCCCCCTCCCACACACACACACCCTTGAGACAAAGTGCCTCAGTCCTGTCCCTTTGTACCCATCATGTTTGCCTGAACATAGTTCACCCAGGCTGTTTGCATGCACGTGGGTTCCTCCCAACCCCATGCTGGGGACCCTTTCTGGTGCAGCAGTTCCAATTGTGGCAATGGAGCCAAATGCATATGGAGGTGCAGCAACATCTGGGCAAGTGCACTGGGCCAGACCAGGGGAAGTGCAGTCCGTCATCAGTGGGAGTGAGACCAGCTTGGTCCTACTCGCTCTCCCTCTCTGTGTGCATCAGCGTATCCCTACATTGGTTGTTTATACAGGGCCATGTGCACTTCTGCTCTGTCGCTTTGTAATTGTGCTACGAAGGAGACTGTAAGCTACTCTGAGACGCCGAGTGAAGGGCAGGATACAAATCCACCTCTTCTTCTCCTGCTCCTTCTCCTCCTTCCTCCCTTCTTTCTTATTCATTCATGTTGACTTGGTCCTTTAGAATGTCGCTTCTCAAACCTTCTGCTTCAAGGAGTGCTTTCCACGTCACGCTATGTACCTTGCTGTCACCCTGCCCATTGCAGAGAATTATTTTGTTTGTTTCACTTACAACCCACCGTTCTCCCCAATGCGGATCCGAAGGGGGTCCCATCATTCTCCTCTCCTCCATTTTATCCTCACAACACTCCCATGAGGTACATTAGGCTGAGAGTGAGTGACTGTCCCAGGGTCACCCAGCAAGCTTCCATGGCAGAGCGGGGACTTAAACCTGGCTCTCTCAAATCCTAGTCTCACATACTAATCACGACACCACAACACACACCATATGCAACAGTGGCCAGGCTTCCATGGTACCCCACAGTTGTCCCCGCAGAGAGGGGCTATGGTAAGTATGGTTGCCAACCTTAGATCCCCCGGGTGAGGTACAGGGGGCGGGGCACATGATGAAGCCCCGCCCTCTGCTTCCGGCCGCCCCGCTTCCGGCCCTCATTCAGCCAGGAGGAGGCAGGAGAAGAGGGAGGGTAAGTTGCTTCCTCCCCGCCTCTCCCCACCCCTGCGACCCTCTGCTTTGCATACAGATGGTCACAGGTTCAATCCCCGGCATCTCCAGATAAAAGGATAAGGTAGTAGGTGATGTGTAATGCCTCAGCCTGAGACTCTGGAGTGCTTCTGCCAGTTGGAGTCGACAGGGCAGTCGTCCTTCTTAGGCCAATGGTCTGACTCAGTCGAAGGTAGGTTCATGCCACACCAACAAACAATGAACCAAGAACATGTCCTGGAACTCACCAAACACTCTTCTAGTGTTGTACCTTCCAAGTGTAGATTAATATTATGTAGCCCCCCCAAAAAAAAGCTTGTTCACCATTTCTGATTATTTTTTTTTTAATGATGTGATCCCTGAAAAATGTGCTATGGCACCTCTGGTTTTTTTAATGATGTGACCCCTGAAAAATGTGCTATGGCACCTCTGGGTTTCCTGTAATGCAACCTAAAAGCCACAGTTTTTATTTATTTATTTATTTGGTTCGATTTCTACCCCGCCCTTCCCATAAGTGGGCGCAGGGTGGGTTGCAACATTAATATAAAACAATAAAATCAAAGATTAAATCTATAAACTTACTATACCTTGTGGCTAATAGCCACTGATGGACCTCTGCTCCATATGCTTATCTAATTCCCTTTTGAAGCCGTCCATGCTTGTAGCCGCCACCACTTCCTGTGGCAGTGAATTCCATGTGTTAATCACTCTTTGGGTGAAGAAGTACTTCCTTTTATCCGTTCTAACCCGACCGCTCTGCAGTTTCATGGAGTGCCCACGAGTTCTTGTATTGTGAGAAAGGGAGAAAAGTACCTCTTTCTTTACCTGCTCTTTCCCATGCATAATCTTATAAACCTCGATCATGTCACCCCTCAGTCGTCTTTTCTCCAAGCTAAAGAGCCCTAAGCGCTTTAACCTTTCCTCATAGGGAAAGTGTTCCAACCCTTTTATCATTCGAGTTGCCCTTTTCTGCACTTTTTCCAAAGCTATAATATCCTTTTTAAGGTGTGGTGCCCAGAACTGCACACAGTATTCCAAATGAGGTCTCACCATTGATTTATATAGGGGCATTATGCTCACAACTTTAATGCCAGTAGCTCACAAAGGGGTATTTTTGTTCACAAGACTCCACAGCCTAGAGGGAGCATTGGTTGTGGCAAGCATCTCAGAGGTGGAAATTATGGCCAAAAATGCTAATGAGACCATAGGGCAGGATTTCTCATCTCTGCTAATGATCATGTTACAAAATGTCTTACATAGTACTGTTATTAATTAAGAGAACATAAGAGACGCCAATGTTGGATCAGGCCAAAGGCCCATCCAGTCCAACACTCTGTGTCACACAGTGGCCAGAAATACCAGTGCCATCAGGAGGTCCAGCAGTGGGGCCAGGACATTAGAAGCCCTCCCACTGTTGACCCCCCCCCCAAGCACCAAGAAGACAGAGCATCACTTGCCCCAGAGCCCCTAGCTATACCTTGTGGCTAATAGCCACTGATGGACCTCTGCTCCATATGCTTATCTAATTCCCTTTTGAAGCCGTCCATGCTTGTAGCCGCCACCACTTCCTGTGGCAGTGAATTCCATGTGTTAATCACTCTTTGGGTGAAGAAGTACTTCCTTTTATCCGTTCTAACCCGACCGCTCAGCAATTTCATGGAGTGCCCACGGGTTCTTGTATTGTGAGAAAGGGAGAAAAGTACCTCTTTCTTTACCTGCTCTTTCCCATGCATAATCTTATAAACCTCGATCATGTCACCCCTCAGTCGTCTTTTCTCCAAGCTAAAGAGCCCTAAGCGCTTTAACCTTTCCTCATAGGGAAAGTGTTCCAACCCTTTTATCATTCGAGTTGCCCTTTTCTGCACTTTTTCCAAAGCTATAATATCCTTTTTAAGGTGTGGTGACCAGAATTGCACACAGTATTCCAAATGAGGTCTTACCATTGATTTATATAGGGGCATTATTATATTGGCTGATCTGTTTTCAATACCCTTCCTAATAATCCCCAGCATAGCATTGGCCTTCTTTATTGCAGTCACACACTGTCTCGACATTTTCAGTGAGTTATCTACTACAACTCCAAGATCTCTCTCTTGCTCAGTCTCTGCCAGTTCAGACCCCATCAATGTGTATTTATATTTAGGATTTTTGGCTCCAATGTGCATCACCTTGCACTTGGCCACATTGAACCCCATTTGCCATGTTGACGCCCACTTGCCCATCCTTGACAGGTCCCTTTGGAGTGCCTCACAATCCTCACTGGTTTTCACCACCCTGAACAACTTCGTATCATCCGCAAATTTAGCCACTTCACTGCTTACTCCCAATTCCAGATCATTAATGAACAAGTTAAAAAGGGTGATTTTACCATAGAGTTTTGCCCAAAAACCAGAGTGTCGCCCTCAACGTCCCTACTTCCAGGTGATGTGGGCACAGTGCACAATGTCACTTCCAGTGATGTCAGCATGTTGGGTGCAATACTTCCAGCTCCCGTAACATCCCCCCCAACCCCCCACCAGTGTCTCCAATGGACCTGGCAACCTTAGAGTTTCCTTAACTCAATGATTCATTTGTTAACACTGAAACTTCAGGGCAGATAACATAGCTTTAAATAGGGTTGCCAGTCTCCAGGTGGTGGCTAGAGATCTCCTGGAATTACAGCTGGTCAATACAACCACACATGACAAAAAACTTTGTTTTCTGTCCACTAGGCCTAGGATTGACCTGGCCTGGCTCTGAATTAGGCTTACCTGATTGCCTGCCCCCATGCTCTAGCTCTCGCTCTTGCTTGATGGCGCAGTGGGATGAAAAATGGGACAAAGTTGGCATGAATGTAATGAGATCACTTCCAGATGAGCACCTTTAAGTGATGTCACAGTGACCACAATCTTCTAGGAATTCCCCCAATCTCTATGGTAAATAAAATAGAGATTGAGGAAATTCCTAGAGGGTCATGGGTGCTATAATGTCACTTCCAGGCTCTCTGCTGGAAGTTGTCACAAGGTTCATGCCACTCTCCGTCCCCAGGCTTTGACCGTGAATTCTCCCCAGGGATTGGTAGTAGATGCCGGGCAACCCCATCCTGAACAGTTTGTGTAAGCCCAGTACTCCTGCAAGTTCCTAGTAGGCGAGTGAAGCAGTTTCTCTCCTACCCTCCTTCTTCTGCTAAAGCCTTCTGGGTCAGGGGCCTCTTAAAGAGGCAGTACACAATAGCCACAGGCTATGCTCTCTCAAAGCCAGAGGGGATGGAGGTGGACAAGGAGTTCATAAAGCATAGGACTATGGATATCTCCTGGGTTTGTTCCAACAAACTCTGGAACAAAAATGAACCTTAAGTATTGGTGCAGAACTGGAAAATTCCTGCAACCCCACCTGGGGAGCAATGGACCATGCTGGAGTGCCCTGGAATCTGGCACTCCTTCAGCATTTTGGATTCTCTTAGCCCTGCAATGGGCATTTCAGGCAAGGTGGAGTCTTGGGCAATTGAGGGGCAACTCTTTGAAGGGCTGTCCCTTAGAGGAGGGCAGGGAGCTGTTCCTGATGGCAGCAGAGGAGATGAGTCGCGATCATGGGTTTAAATTAATGGCAGGAAGGTACCAGCTGGACATTAGGAAACACTTTAAAAGTAAGAGTTGTTCAACAGTGGAATCAGCTGCCTAGGGAGGTGGTGAGCTTCCCCCTACTGGCAGTCTTTAAGCAGCAGTTGGACAAACCCTTGTCAGGGATGCTCTAGGCTGATCCTGCATTGGGCAGGGGGTTGGACTGGATGGCCTGTGTGGCCCCTTCCAACTCTGTGCTTCTATGATTCTTTGGTTGACTTAGGTGATCTGCACATCTGGTTCTTGAATCCCTGTTGGCTCCAGCGCAGGAGCCCATTATTTGCTGGATCCAGAGACAAGGTTTCCAGCAGTAATCCCTTCCGTATGATAAATGATTTACAGCAACATCCTGCAGAGCGAATCATAAGCATACACTCTGCTGAACACATTACACAGTACAGATCACACTGCTGTCCGTAGCTCAGGAAGTTAGACGGAGAGGAACTGGCCCCTATTGCTGAGAGGCTGGAATAACATGCATATCACTCAAGCCTCGCTGCATTTTAATTCAACATGCAATTTATTCCTGGGAGCTGCCCCCTTTACACCATGAGTCCCTTTGACCTATTTGGAAACAGATGCCAGACCACATTGCTCCGTGTCATATGCTTCAATCCATGTCTGTAAGTCAGCTCTAATGCCACAGCTGTGATGTTAATGAGTGCTTCTGAAGGGAAGGCATAAAATGCAGCTGCAGGGAAGAGAGTAAGATGAGAGTTTTCGGAGGAAGCATCTCTCACAGGGACTGTTTATTGCCAGGCTGGGGGCATAGGAGTTGGCGGAGAGAGAAGGCAGAGGGATAGGAGACAGAGGGATTGATAAAAGGCGGGGAGAGAAGATAGAGTTGCACACCGAGTGATGGACTGTGTGCTGCGGGTACGAAGGAGGAAGCATTCATTTCACATATTGATTCCAGGTGTCCAGCCTATATATTTTATTGCTGCCAATCTCTACTCTGTAAAGTAATTTACTGCTTGGAAATTATATACCTACCAATCTTCTTTTGCAGTCTTCAATGATTCAGTGGTCCTTGTCTAAAAGCAAATACGTCTTGGGGAGGAAACAAGCCCATCATCAGTACATCTGAATGTATGTCCCTTGTCGCCCTAATACATAATATCATGTCTACAGGTCTTTCCCTGCTCTGTCAGTTGATACAGAGGATCCAGATAATCCCCACTCACTGAAGAAGTGGTACGACCACCTTCTCCCGAACTCAGTTGCAGTATACTGTTGCTGGGAGGCTGATCCTTTCTCCTGGCTAACCAGACCACTGTGGTTCAAAGTGCTTTGTGGAATGCATGTATGGGGCATCTATCGGTTAGTGTCCATGACGCCACCAATGGTGATGGACACAGGTCCCCCTCCATTATTTATTAATTAAATCATTTACAGTTCTCTGTTCCCCATGGTTCAAAACAGCTTACAATATATAACTAAAATATCAAACAACAGTTAAACCCAACCCCTCCCCAACCTTGTAAAACCTAACAGAATGTAATGAATTATAATAAAGCCTACACTCCGTTAAAAGCTCTGGTGAACGCAGCAGTCTTGCAGCACCTCCTAAAAGTGTTGTCGTCATCATCTGAGACAGCTCAGAGGATTCAGATATGTCATTTCCAGATAACAAATTGCAGCATGTCTATTTTATTATGTTTTTATCCACACCTGCCTCCAAAGAGTCCATATCAGCATACATGTGCCTCTAAATCCATTTCTTCTTTACAATAACCCTCTGAGGTAGGGAAGACTGGCCAAGGTAACCTTGTGCATTTCAAGGTAGAGTGAGGATATGAACATGCTTCTCCAAATCCTAATCTAGCACTCTGACCACTACCACCCCCATGCTACTGCACCAACTCACTTCATTTTGGAGGATCTTACTGAAGTGAACAAATGCCTAGGCTAGAGAAGCAGATTACACCCACCCACCCCCTTAGGCAAAAAGGTGAGGTGGTAGAGGCATGCTTTCTTGTGGTTTCCACAGCTGTTTCCTTTGCCTTGCTGTCCTTGGTGGCCAAACAGATTTTACTAAAGCACTTGAAAAAAAAATCCCTAAAAACCTGTGGACTGAAGTAAACTTTATAGATTTGTTTTCATTATTTTTTTCATGTCCGTATTGGTCTTTTAAACTTATTCATTTTTCCCCCCTTTCCTCTTCCCTGCACTTACTGCCCAGACTAGGCTGAGCTGAGTACTGGCCAGGCAGAGGAGCAGCTGATAATCCCTCTCCCCTCTCCTCAGTTTGGTGTAGTGGTTAAGTGCGTGGACTCTATTCTGGAAGAACTGGGTTTGATTCCCCACTCCTCCACTTGCAGCAGCTGGATGACCTTGGGCAAGCTGTAGTTCTGTCAGAGCTGTTCTGACGCCAACTGAAGGGCGGGGTGTAAATCCAATCTCCTTCTCCTCCTCCTCCTGCTGTTACCAGGTGCTTTGGATGCTCTTTCTGATTATTTATGACCATCACCATGGTAATGTATTTAGTGGAATGCACCAAGGTACCATGACACTGATGAATCTGAAGAGTGTTTGAGGCATTATACCCCATAGAAGTCCCTCCCCTCCCTAAACTCCGCCCTTCTCAGGCTCCACCCTCAAAATCTCCAGGTATCTCCCAACCTCGGAGCTAGCAACCTAGTTACAGTCCCTCCTTTCTCTTTGATGTCCATGAACTCTGAACCAGACAGCCAGGTACAAGAATAACAAAGATTCAAATAGCAAGTAATATTAACAGAGAATGAATTTTTAATCTGGTTAATGCTAGTAGCAAAAATGGCTTTTGGTTTCTTTATGTAGTGCCTCTGCCATACCATTTTCCATTCTCTGAAAAAAATATAATTTTGTTTCCACTCAAGGATTTAATTTTCTATTGCAGCTCTGGGGTCAGATGCCTGTCTTAATTCATGTTGCTTGACCAGTTCCTTCTGTTATCATCTTCCTGACAAAAGAACTGTTTAATCCTTCAGGTTTCTGAGTCAAGAGTTTTATTCTGGAAATACTGTCATTAATAATGCCCAAACGCTTGAAAGATATTTATCAGCTATTCACAGTCATCTTTGTAGAATCCATTCTGTGTTAATTCAATGAACTGCCAACTCAGACCTTTCACATTAAAGATGAAATAGATGTTCTCCTCTAATGAAAATGATGTTTACCCTGATGTGCTTTGCTTTGTGTGATGTAGTGGATGTCGGAAAGAAAGAGAGCGAGAGAGAGCGAGAGAGAGCGAGAGAGAGAAAGAGAGAGAGAGAGAGAGAGAGAGAAAGAAAGAAAGAAAGAAAGAAAGAAAGAAAGAAAGAAAGAAAGAAAGAAAGAGAAAGAAAGAAAGAAAGATGGATGACTGATTTCCTGTTCTGATATTCTTGTTTTTAGAGCAATGCAGGACCTGCTGTCTTTTGGCTTCTCCTGTTTCTTTTAAAACACCCCTCAGCCAGGGCAGCAGTTCAAGGTGAAGTAGAGGGGATACTTAGAACCAGAAGGCAAACAATGGGACAAATGCAGATCACCAACCAAGAGGTTTTGGACAACACACCGATTTTTGGTTAGTAATCTCTTCTTCAGAGCTACCTTTGGGTTGCTTGGTACGTCTGGCAAAATAGTGGTGGGTGGGGTGGAGAAATCGGATAAGGAGAATCTTTTCTTCCTCTCCCCTTGCGGGCACCCAATGAAGTTCATGGGCAGTAAGTTCAGGACAGACAAAAGGAAATGCCTCTTTACTCAAAGAGTAATTCAATTCCTGTGACCTGGATGGGCCAAGCTGGCCTGATCTCATCAGACCTTGGAAGCTAAGCAGGGTCAGTCCTGGTTAGTATCTGGGTAGGAGACCACCAAGGAAGTCCAGGGTCCCAATGCAGAGGCAGGCAATGGCAAACCACCTCTGAACCCTAAGGGATCTCCATAAGTCAGCTGTGACTTGACAGTGCTTTTTGGCACCAATTAAACTGTAGAATTCACTTCCCACAGACTTAGGTGATGAGCCTAAAGAGCTTTAAAAGGGGACTAGACTAGACAGTCATGGAGGAGGGATCCATCAACAGCTACTAGCCAAGATGATTAAAGGGAAACTCCATGCCTGCGACTGCAGAAGAGATGATTAAAAGGGACTTCCCCATCTAGAGGCAGACAATCTCTGAATATCAGCAGTAGGAGGGAGCAGCGGGGAGAGGCCTTGGCCTTTGTGCCCTTTCTGTTGACCCTCCAGAGAAACTGGTTGGCTGCATGAAACAAGATGCTGGACTAGATGGATCACTGGTCTGATGCAGCAGGGCTCTTCTTACATAGAACTGGGTACGTAAGTCTCATTTGATGATTGCACATTCACACGTTTTACTTTGTGTGCCCTCTGTCAGTCTGGCCCTAAACCAATAAGGGACTGAGCAAGGCTCGGAGGAGGCTGACACTGAACAGCTATGGGGAACAGCTGGCAAGTCCTGGCGATCTACTGCCAAATGTGCTTGGTATCGCTTCAGTAATGCTCAAGGTCCAGTTTAGCTCCTAAGTAATGATGGAGGCCAGCTTTGTGCTCAGTTCAATATCTGACTTGAAGTTCTGCAGTGTAGTATCACTGAGTGGCCACCAGGTGTGGACTATTTTCTCAGCCAGGAGAGTAGAGAGGAGCTGGTGGAGCTTGGCATCTCAGAGCCAAACTACACATTACATTTCCCAGACCCAACTCACTTTTCCTGCAGCTGCGTCAGCTCCCAAATCAGGCAGACAGCTCCCACAGGACCATTTTGGCTCAGGAATACCATGGGGGCAAACAGAAGGACCTCTTTCCCCATGATGGGTTGCCGACCTCCAGGTGGGACCTGGAGATCTCCTGCTGTCACAACTCACCTCCAGCTGATAGAGATCAGTTCCCGTGGAGAAAATGGCTGCTTTGGAGAGTGGATTCTATGGCATTGTACCCTGCTGAGTTCCTTCCTCTCCCCAAAACCTGCCTACCTGGGCTCGCCCTCCCCCCAAATCTCCAAGCATTTCCCAACTCAAAGGTGGCAACCCTATCCTGATATCACAATCCCGAACCAAATCCGGCCCCTAAAGATTTTTAAAGTACCATTCATTGCAGCTGCAGGGAAAGTTAGTCAGGTCTCTGGATCCCTCATTACAAAATGTAAAGTGTGGTTTGGCCCTGAGCAGAGTTGAGGGCAGAGTTGAGCATCGCGCCTTCCGACATAGGATGTCTTATGGAGTGTTTTCAGGCAGCCTTGGGGGATGCTGACCCACATTTTCATCATCCATTCCCCCCCCCCAATTTTGTTCAATGTCATCTTTAGTCCCTTTGCTTCATCTTGCGTTGCTGTGTCATGTCAATGTAAATTGTTGTTGGATCTCTCCTGCATTGTTTATGCAAGCGTGTGATGGATTGCTGATATACAGCAGAGTAAGAGACAGAGGAACATTTGGAAATGAAGATTCTGGCCAGTGCAGGAAACCAACCACAGCTTATGGAATCATTAAAAACAAGTCGCATGAGTGACCCATTCACACTGAAACGTATTTGCCTGAATTGTTAATGAATATAGTACTTTAAAAGGACAAAAAGCTTTAAAATCCTTACGTGAATCATCTCTCTCATTCCTTACCTCCTCCTTCTTGCAGTCCAGTTGCAGCTGACTTATGATGGACCTTTAGGGTTTTCAAGCCAAGAGACGAACAGAGGTGGTTTGCCATTGTCCGCCTTTGTGTAGCAACCCTGCTATTCCTTGATAGTCTCCCATCCAAATAGTGACCAGGACTGTCCCTGCTTAGCTTTCAAGATCTATTGAGATCAGGCTAGCCTGGGCCATCCAGCTCAGGGTCTCCTGCCATTAGTCCAATGTTATATGTCTATAAAAAGTGGCGTAACTTATTTGTTCTAAAACATTTACATCTTGCCTTTTGGTACAGTGTACCCCCATCCAAGTGACTTAGCTTATTAAATGTTACCCCCCCCCCATAAAACAGTAACAGCTTGTGAACACCAGGATTTGAACTCAAAAGTTCAAAGGACCTCATGGCTGCCTGGATCACACACACAAAAAAAATCATTAGACTACTTAATTATATGAAGTTGCTACACTTTCCAGTTGATTCCTTATGCATCTGTCCCAAATGGGGCAGACAGCTCCCATGGGGCCATTTTGGCTCAGGAATACTCATTAAATCTACTCTAAGCTGCTATTAAAATTGAGTTGATTTGCTCTAGCAGTAGCTGGACCGCTAAAGATCTACCTATGGCAAGAGCCAGTTTGGTGTAGTGGGCTCTAATCTGGGAGAATCAGGTTTGATTCCCCACTCCTCCACATGCAGCTGCTGGTGTGACCTTGGGTCAGTCATAAGTTCTTTCAGAGCTGCTCTCTCAAGGGCAGTTCTCGAGAGCTCTCTCAGCTCCACCTATCTCACAGGGTGTCTGTTTTGGGGAGGGGAAGGTAAAGGAAATTGCAGTCTGAGACTCCTTTTGGTAGTGAAGGGCAGGGTATAAATCCAATGTTGTCATCCTCCTCTACCTCCTTCATCTATGGCTTCTAGAAAAGGCATCCAGTAGGCTGGTTAAAATCAAAACCTTTAACGAATGCTTAGACCACATGTGACAAAAATGAGAAACAAGCCATGAAAGAAAAGAGATTGCCAGACTTCATATTGTTTTACTTTTGCCAATGGCTAAGTTTTGGGGGGGAAGTTAAAGATCTGGAGCTTTCTGAAGGATTTTCTAAGCCATGACATGGTGGTGTTTTGTTAAGCAATTTGCAGTTTTGGAAACTGATCAATCCTCCATGTAAAGACTGCCGCCCACACCTTTTTCTCTGTCTTTATTGGCTGCAATCATTCTTCTCTTTGGTTCTCTTATTTGTACAGACAGCGCATTGAATGAAACGCTGCGTTTGACAGCAGCTCCTTTTATCAGCCGGGAAGTCCTTCAAGACATGCCTCTGAGATTGGCAAGCGGCAGAGAGTGCAGCCTGAGGAAGGGAGATAGACTTTGCCTCTTTCCTTTCATAAGCCCGCAGATGGACTCTGAAATCTATGAGGAACCAGAGGTAACTTGTGCCATTCTTCATCCTGGTCTTTGTGACAGTCTCCCCTGCAGATTCCTTTCACAGCGTGTTTTGTTTAATCCCATGGAAGCGAGAATGCCGCAATGCAATGTGCAGCAACCTTGAAACTGTTACACAATCACATTCTGGCAAATTGAACCATAATAATATTAACACAGAACTGCACCTATAAAGAGGAGTTCCATTCAGGGCAGGATTGTGCCCGTTCCAGGATCCTTCATGTACGTCACGCTACTTGTGTACAATATGTTGTCGAAGGCTTTCACGGCCGGAGTTCATTAGTTGCTGTAGATCTAGCTTCCTAAGAACTGCAGTTTGCTTTTTTAAAAGTTTCTAGTTCCTGAGGGTGGGAAGATGGATTCATAAATGACTGAAGTCTCAGAACCCAAGAAGGGAGACAGAGGAAGGCAAGAGTTTCCAGTGGTAATTGGAGAATGCTTGGGTACCACAAAGAGTGCTTTGTTTAGCCCATTCCAAGACTAGTAGAACCAAAATAAATTATGGAAAGATATGCAGGTTTACACCTAGTAACTTTTTTATTTAAGATTTTTCGTTATTTGACAATCTGTATTTAGTACAACCAACAAATATACAAGCATGAAACATATTACAGTAAAATAACATAACAAAGACAATTGGAATAGAAAGTCAATAAGCAATACCAAACATCAGATCTTGCAACTTATAAGCCTCCTTAATATGGTATTTCAGTTAAGTACTTCATTTTGGGGGTGGACCACTCCCATCTGCATCAAGTAGTTCAATATCACTGGCCACACTTCTACAAAATTTGAGTGCATTCTGTAGAAAGATGGTGATTAACAGCAATCCAGGTACTGGCATAGGGGCAGCCACAGAAAGTGCAATGGGAGAGAACTCTTTCTGCAGTCCATATTTTGAGGAGTATCACCCAATCTGATCTAACACTCACACACCCCGCCCAGTTTTCTATTTTGACTATTGGGGATCAGCAAAAGGGTGAGTGTAATTCCATAAGGCTTGTGGATGTTGGATATGCTGAATCCACTTGACTGGTCTAGCCTATAAAAAGTGCCCAAACAGGAAGCAAATTTTCTCCAGGCCAGTTTAGCCAGGGATCCTGGAGGTTTTTTGTCATCTTCTGGGCGTGGAACAGTGGTCACTATGGGTGTAGAGGGGGAGGTATTTGTGAATTTCCAGCATTGTGCAGGGGGTTGGACTAGATCACCCTGGAGATCCCTTTCAACTCTATGATTCTATGATTCTGTATCAACACCAGTTTAATTTACCAGGAAGATAAGAATAGCTCTGCTGGACCAGAGCAGTGGTACAGTCCATCATCCTGTTTCCCACAGAAGCCAACCAGCTGCCCTGGAGGGTCAACAAACAGGGCCTAGAGACCAAAGCCTTTTCTGGTTGCTGCCTCCTTGCCATGGGTATTCAGAGATTTGCTGCTTCTCAGTGTGGATGTTCCCTTTATTCACCATGGCTGGCAGCCATTGATGGCCATTGAATCCATCTAATGCCTTTTCAAAGGCTTGTGGCCATCACTATTTCCATTGGCAGTGAATCCCATAGTTTCATTACTGGTTGAGTGAAGAAGTACTTCCTTTTGTCCATCCCCAATTCATTCCCTCCAAGAATCTAGTATTTTGAGATAGACAAGAAATACTCTCTGTCCACTTTCTCCACTCCATGGAGTTACCATTATTTTTGCTATTATACTTTTTATTTCCAAAAATGGAAGCATGGATGGTTTCAAGAGGGAATTGGGTAAACATATGGAGCTGAGGTCCATCAGTGGCTATTAGCCACAAGGTATAGGTAGGAACTCTCAGTCTGGGGCAAGAGATGTTCTGTATTCTTGGTGCTTGGGGGGTGCAACAGTGGGAGGGCTTTTAGTGTCCTGGCCCCACTGCTGGACCTCCTGACGGCACCTGGTATTTTTGGCCACTGTGTGACAGAGTGTTGGACTGGATGGGCTATTGGCCTGATCCAACATTGGCTTCTCTTGTGCTCTTAAGTCTTAAATGCTAAAGCACAATAGTTTTGTATGTACATTGAAAATATTGCAGCTGACTTATGGCGATCCCATTGGCTTTTCAAGGCAAGAGACATTCAGAGGTGGTTTGCCATTGCCTGCCTCTGCATTGGAACCCTGGGCTTCTTTGGTGGTCTCCCATCCAAATACTAACCAAGGCCAACCCTGCTTAGCTTCTGAGATGTAAGAAGATCAGGCTAGCCTGAGCTATCCAGGGCAGGGCAGGTATACACATACACCCCATGACATTTTATATCTGAATGACGAAAGACGGCTTTTCATATGTGTACCCTGAGCAGTAAATTTAAAAAAAAACCTTGACAAACCTGCCTGTGAAGTTAAATCTGAAATAGCTTGGTTGCACATGCAAGACTAATCAGTCATGTGCAAACCACACTGGGGAATATTATTTCTTCTCAAGCATAACTCTCTTACAAGCCCTTCCAGAAACAAAAAGAAAGAAAGAAAAGTAATTCTCTGGATATGTATTTAAGACCTAAAAATGGAATAGGGTAAACAATAGTGAGTGATAACCGGCACTGATTTATTATGATGAATGGAATTCCTCATTGCCTGTTACTTTGACAACCCAATGTGTGTGTGTGTTTTTAAATATAGCTCTGTGGCTCCCACTCCTCTGAGTTTCAGCTCTTCTCCCCTATCAGTTTTCTCTTTGTTTAACAGAGAAGCAAAATGGGTTTGCTTCCTCTTACGCAAAGCCTCCCGAGACCTGTCATGGCAGAAATGATGCTGGCATCTGAGTCATGCAAGTCTCATTCCATTATTGTTTGTAAGGTTACATGATGCCCACTTGTGTCCCAGGACGCAAGTAAATTCCTGCTTTTCCCTTTTTCCCCGGGGCCCAAAATGTTAAAATATACAACATTTGCTTTGTTCAGCAAAGCCCTAATGCAGGGAGGGAAACTAAAAGTAAGCTAGTTTCAGAGAAGAGCCATGTTGGTTTGTAGTAGAACAGCTGGATTTGAGTCCGGTAGCATCTGATGAAGGGAGTGTTGACTCTTGAAAGTTTATACTCTGAAAATTGTGTTGGTCTGTAGGTGCTTCCGGACTCAAATCTAGCTCTTCTGAGTAGGGGAGGGGCCATGGCTCAGTGGCAGAGCCTCTGTTTGGCATGCAGATGGTCCCAGCTTCAGTCCCCAGCATCTCCAGTTAAAACGGACCAGACAGTAGATGATGTGAAAGATCGTATCTTAAGAGAACATACGAACATAAGAGAAGCCAGTGCTGGGTCAGGTCAATGGCCCATCCAGTCCAACACTCTGTGTCACACAGTGGCCAGAAGTACCAGGTGGTGTCAGGAGGTCCACCAGTGGGGCCAGGACATTAGAAGCCCTCCCACTGTTGACCCCCCCCAAAGCACCACGATGACAGAGCATCACTTGCCCCAGAGTCCCTATCTATACCTTGTGGCTAATAGCCACTGATGGACCTTGCTCCATATGTTTATCTAATTCCCTCTTGAAGCTGTCCATGCTTGCAGCCGCCACCACCTCCTGTGGCAGTGATTTCCATGTGTTAATCACTCTTTGGGTGAAGAGATCCTGGAGAGCTGCTGCCAGTCTGAGTAGACAGTACTGACCTTGTTGGACCAGTGGTCTGGTTCAGTTCATGTGTCCAAGCTACAGTAACTCTGAGTGGAAGGTTAGGAGGAGAGCGTGTGGCTGGCCCAGGGTCACCCAGCAAGCTCTTATGTCAGAGTGTGCATTCAAATCTGGGGCCTCCCAGATTTTAGTCCAACCCTGTAACTTCTACGCCACATTGGCTCTCAACATCTAACCCGTGTCTCGCATGAGTTAAAACTTCACTTTGTAGGAATGGGGGTCTCACTGTGTATTTCTTATTTTTTTCCCCCAGAAATTCAAATACAACAGATTCCTCAATTCAGATGGTACAGAAAAAACAGACTTCTATAAAGAAGGAGAAAAGCTCAAGTATTACAACATGCCCTGGGGAGCAGGAATAAATGTCTGTATCGGAAAGTTCTATGCAGTCAATAGCATCAAACAGTAAGTGGCTATCGGCCATTGACAAAGTGCCTGTCTCTCTGCTCCAGTATGGACCCAGAGAATCCAGCCTGGGGTGATCTTAGAAATTCGATCTCTTGCGTAAACAAAAAAAAAATAAAAGAAAAAAATAAATGTATTTCCAGTTCCATTTTCTCCGTGTGAGTATGGATTTAATCCTTTGTTGAAATGACTGAAGTCTCTATCTACTTTTTAAAAAAATCTATATTTATCTGTTTTATGAACTGCCTGTCTGTTCCCGTAGGTCAGATTTGTACAACATATGCCCTCCCAAGCTGCACACTGTATCCTATCAAAAACTCAACAATTATCCCTTCCTTTTCTCAGTACCAGACTGGCCGCAAACACTAGGAGTTGGAACCTATGACTCCTTTCCACTGCCTCTTTCTTTAACGCAGACTCTTCCCAAAGGGGAAAGCCTTTTTTTTCCAATGGAGAAAGATTTATTCCCTAAGAGAAAGACTGTCTCCATTGGAGGAAGACGTGGTGAAAGGGATTCCAGAGGGGCAGCTGTGTTAGTGTGTTGTAGCAAAATTAAACAGGAGTTCTGTGGCACCAGAAAGACTAAACACAATTTATTCCAGCGTGAGCTTCCTTGTGTTGGAGCTCGCTTTATCCGATGCATGGAGCTGACAGTCCATGAATCTGATGAACTGCTCCTGGACTAGGGTTGCCAGCTCTGGGTTGGGAAATTCCTGGAGATTTTGGAGGTGGATCCTGGGGAGGGCGGGGTTTGGGGAGGGGAGGGACTTCAGTGAGGCATAATGCCATAGAGTTCACCTTCCAAAGCAACCATTTGCTCCACGGGAACTGATCTCTGTAACCTGGAGACCTATTTTAATTCCAGGAGAACTCCAGCCACCGTCTGGAGACTCGCAACCCTAACTTGGACTTCTGCTTCATTTTGGTAAAAGGAAGTCTTGGGATCCATTCCTAGAGGTTTATCATCAAACATCTAGGACTGACATTGTGACGAGCTGAGATGGAGCATAAGCATACCCGCATGCTTCTCCATTTGTGCACCGAGCGTGATTCCAAATCTCCTCCTCCAGTTAAGCCCACTGTCGCCGTCATGTCTGAATGCAGGTGCCTCAGCAAATGGAAGCTTCTTTGCTCCATTCGAACCAGGATTCTAAACTGAGATCAACCCTAATTTTAGGATACCAGTTTCTGGGGGTGTAAACTAACTGCAATTTGCCAAGTGTTGGCATTCAGTTTAAACAAATGGGAGCTGGGTTCAGAACTTCCCAGCTTGATCAGGCTTCAGAGGAGGAAGAGGGAAGTGAGAGAGTGTGTGCAGGGCAACCAGCTAGGGATGCCAGCCTCCAGGTGGGACCTGAGGATCCCCCAGGATTACAGCTCACCTGCAGGCTACAGTGATCAGTTCCCCTGGAAAAATGGCTGCTTTGGAGGGTGGAGTCTATGGTGTTGTACCCCCATGGAGGTCCCTGTCCTCTCCAGGCTCCATTCCCCAAATCTCCAGGAGTTTCCTAACCTGGATCAGGTAATCCCACCCCCCACCGGTGACCAGGGGGGACCTGGCAACTCTACACACCAGCTCTGTTCTTTGTCTCAGTTTCATTACAACTGAATGCAGCCCTCGCATGCTGCTGTAGGGCTGGCAACCCCACGGTGCGAAATTCCTGGAGATTCGGGGGAGGGAGGGGCCTTGGAGGGATATAATGCCATAGACTGTAACCCCGCCACACACACACACACCAAGCAGCCATTTTCTCCAGGGGGAACTGATGTCTATAGACTGAAAATCAGTTGTAATTCTGAGAGTTCTCTAGGTACCACCTGGAGGTTGGCAACTGAATCCCAATGGTCCATGGTGAGCTTGGTGGGTGACAAGTTTTGCAGGCCTGTCCCGGTACTGAATCCCAAATATGCAATTTGAAATAAAGTGCTAATTTTCCCACAGACTTCTCTACCATCACACACCCATTATTTATTCTACTGGTTTTTCCTCTGATGAGCTCAGAGCATGTACATTATATTCCCAGGCAATGTATGGGAGCAGACCTGCTCAGCTGTGGCTGCTGAAATGTATCTTTAGCCTGCTGAAACCACTCTGATC